TAATATAGACTAGTGGTCTTAGCTTCTATATATTTCAGGAAAGAACCCCCGGGGTTAATATACTCACATTTGGGGTTTTGAGCCAGTTCGGCCTGCAGTCTTCCGTAATATGCCGTTGGCGAGGCGTCGAGATGTCACATCGCGTGCTGCGAGGCGTTTGTCAAGTTTCAGCTGAGCCTATCCGACAACGCAGAGGGTTGAGCTATTGTTGCGCCTCGCACCCCAGACTGTGATGGAATGGGGTGATCGTCTAGGCCACCTGATACCGTCCGCAGCCTTGCGCGATGGCGATAGCATGTCTGTAGGAGTTGCTTTCCGCTGGGACTAGGGTGGCGATTGACAGCGAAACAAGCTTCAATGCTCTGTGGCAACAAATAGCACCATGCGCCCTGGATGGCTCGCCCGGGTCTGCAAGTTTACAATCCATCACTGAAAGTATTCTCATGCTTTACATTTTCATAATGAACTACCTTCTTCTTCCACTTTACGCGACCATCGCCGTAATCATCCCCGCCGCCTCAGCCTCGCGATCCGCCCTCCGCGCCTCACGGGACTCGGTCCAGGGACGCAGCTTTCTGTGCCCCGTCGTCTGCGACAACACGTGGTGCTGCCTGACGGGCCAGACGTGCCAAGAGAGCAGCGACGACGACGCGCCGTACGAGTGCGCCGACCCGCTGTTCGAAACGACCGAGTCGGCCTTTGCGCTCGTTCCCCTGAGCAGGCAGATCGAGTCGATCATTGCGGAGAACAGCCTCTTCCTCTCGAGCCTGACGGCGGAACTTTCGCTGACGTTGACGTTCACGCCCATCACCACGCTGCCTGATCCGTTCGAGCCGACCACGGTGTCTGCTAGACCGGTGATCACTGAGTCTTCGATCCCGCCTGTCACAACTACACGTCCGACGTCGACTTCGGCGACAAGCTCTTCGACGCAGGATGACCATGACGCTACGAGAACAGGCGAGACGAGTGTCAGGGCGATATCCACAACGTCTACTGCAAGCCGTGAGATGTCGATATTGTCCGAAATAACGACCACGGAAACTGAATCAACTACAGGAACTATCTCTCCGAGTGTAGAGAATTCATCATCGTTGGTTGCCTCTACCGTCTCGGAACAGAGTGGCACGGTCACTTCTACCCGCACGGCCTCCATCAGCACAGAGACATCGGCGCTGTCCGGCCACGTGACGACGACCTCAAGTCAAGGTGCCGCGCCGACGGCGCCGTCACAGTGGCAGCACGGAATGGCCGTCGTCGGGCTCGTGATAGCTGCAGTACTCTAGGTGAAGGGGAAAAAGTAATCACGTTGAGACGGGAATATAAGCAGTGACTGGAGCTGACTAGCGGAGGGTTACCAAATCTGTGGAAGGCGGGTGTGAGTATGAAGATCAGCGGACACTTGTCCGACGAGAGTACAAGGAGTCGGAGTGTAATGTGTTATGAGATATGCCCTGCTACGTGCGACAGACGCCAGAAAATGACAGACATCTGGAATGAGACGGCTCTTGACATTGGCGGACTTGGCCACGCCGCAATCTGAATTCACCAAGCCGATGATTTTCCACCACACACATCAAGACAAGACATTGTTTTGGCAGTTGTGTCAAAGGCCTGCTCATATATCATCAATTAGAGACGCTCGAAGGTCAGGCCAGGGTTATTTGATCATCAAAGGCACATCAATCTTGCAGGCCATGGCAGACACAGACAGCTACTCCCGGTACTCGCCCGCGAAAAGCGGCTCGCCCGGCTCCCCGTTCATGGCCTCCCAGACGGTCCTCGGCTCAAGCTCCAAATCCCTCTCCTTCTTACCCCCTTCCTTGGCCTCCTTGATCTCCTCGAGCGCGTTCTCCCTCTCAAGGGCGACTGTGAACCTATTAGCTTTATGTTCCTCGATCCGGGGAAGCCAGATGCGGCACTCACCATGCAGGAAAACGGCGGTCCTCTTGCCCGAAAACAGAGCATGCGGCACGTTGGTGATGTTGTCCGAGTTGGCGTCGCCAATCGCGTAGACGCCAGGGATGTTCGTCACGAGACCCTTGGTCTGATCGGCGGCAAGACGGCCGCCGTAGAGCGTGACGCCCATTTCCTCGCCGACATCGGACGCCTGCTCCGAGGGCCAGCTCGACAGGAAGGCGGCGCGCTCGACGGGCTTGCCTTCGGGGAACTCGACGCTGAAGAGGTCGGCATGGGCGACGGACGGCAGGCTGGGGTCGTGGTCGTCCGCGTCCTCCTTGAGGCGGGTGAGGCGTTCAATGGTGCGGTTGTCGACGGTGACGTTGTGGATGTCGAGGTAGATGCGCCAGTCGGGGAACTTCTTCTCCGTGGCGGCCTGGGCGTCGGGTGTATCGGTGCCGTTGACAAAGGCCACGACGTCGGCGTTGAGGGTGATCATCTCGCGCACGAGGCCGGGGACGTCGGCCAGCGGGGCGAACAGACCAAGGGGCTGGTCTGCGTACTCGTGGCCGTCGCACCAGGGGCACCAGTAGATGCCCTTGCCCCAGGCCTCCCTAATGCCGGGCGTCGCGGGGAGGATGTCCCGCATGCCGGTGGCCAGAACAATCTTGCGGGCGCGGTAGGTCTTGGAGGCGCCTGTGGGGTCATCGGTCAGGACTTCGAAGAGTGTGTTGTTGTTCTGCGGCTCAATCTTGGTGACTGTCGCGTTGACCATGGAGACCGTCTTGTAGTGAGCGATCTGCTGGCGAGCGGCGTAGCGGAAGTAGGCTGGGCGGACGCCTGATGTACAGATTAGAAATGTGTATCAGAGAAGGAAGAGGAACCGTACCATCAAATCCGAGGACATCGTGCATCTGTCGCGTGGGGTCGTTGCGGTACACGCCCGAGTCGATCAGCAGCACATTACGGCGGACACGGGCCAGGCCGCTGAGGGCCGAAAGACCGGCAGGACCGCCGCCGACGATGATGGCATCGTACTCGGTGGCGCCGGTGCTCGAGGCTACCTCGAGACCGGAAGCAGGCACAGCAGCACCTAGGCCGAGGGTGGCCAGGGCAGTCAGGACGAGGGCATTACGGAACCACATGATGCGAGAGCGAGGGAGTCGTCGGAACGGGAGCGAGATGCGTGAGGATTTCCGAACCGCTCACCAGGGAGGTAGGCGGGCATTATAAAGACGAAGAGTCCATGCGTGGATCACAACATGCTAGCCGGCTGATCCCAACTTCGAGTCTGTAGGACACAGGGCGTGCAAGGACGGCCAAGCGTGCTGGAATGGACCGTGATCGAAATGAGTCGTGCAACCCACCCGAGCCGTGTAACTGAGACTAGGGATCCATTGGACAGCGGACTCTGCGGTTCGTCCCGCGTGCTTGTGTCGATCGCGACGCGTTGGCCGAGACAATGCCCCGCATTGCAGTCTGCCGCGAGACAGTGTCGAGTGCACCGACATTGGGCACATGTCCGTGGGAGCCTTCACGACGCCAGCTCTGCATTTGCATTGACCGGTCAGGCTGGGCTGAAGCTGGCGCTCTCTCGTCATTGGAGCCCACGAGGATGTGTGCTCGAGGGGGATGCCAAGTGGTCGTCGCCCCCCGGCAGTCTGTGCAATGGCGATGAGGATCTGAGTAACGACAATGTTTTGCCAGAGCAAGCTGCATGACGGGTGGCCATGCAAACACTCGATCAGGCCGCCTGCATCGTCTTTCGGATGGATCATGATAGGACGGCTGTGGTGTGTGTATCGGAAGACATCAATCTGGTCGGAAACGGCTCCAGGGTCCCTATGTTGGCAGTCGGCAGGTCAAACACTGTCGGTCATGGCGCATGGAGACATGGCACGCCATGTCTACAAGCTGGAGTCAGGCGTCGAAGGAGGAGGCATCTGAGTGGCCATCTGCACACACCGCTTGCCCGTGGGCAGCTTCAAGTCGGGTTAGCCGTGTGATGGGTCTCAACCGGCGCAAGGATCCGTGGCAGCTGGCGTCAAACGGGTCTTGGGGAGTGACGTGGGTGGGCAGAGCTGGCGGTGGGAAGTGAGACGTTGAGATTAAGATGGTGATGTGGTGGAGACGGCGGTGCCTTGTGCTTGGCTCGTGTTGTTTTGGCGTGAAAAACGAGCAGCCACAGCCAAAAGCCTCAGCCACTACTGAGCCTTGGGCGCCACTGAGCCTCGGGCGCCAGGCCACAGGGCCACGGTCGGCCATGGCGACTCCGAGACAATGCACTAGAGGCAATCACCACTTCACCCGAACATGCACAGCACAGCATAGCATAGTACAACATCATCAGGCGAACTCCTCTCCTATTCATCCCTTCTCGACTAGCACATCATGAACCCTTCTCGGTCATTCGTCAGGAACACCGTCATCCCGACCAGCAAGCCGAGCTACCTACTACCAGAGCACCATCATTTCCATGGCGCCTCCTCGGGCGGATCAACAGGAATCCGCCCCGCGTGCTCCGAGTCCCACTCCGTGCACATGCACTCCCGAACCGTCCAGTCCTTCGGATTCCAGACAGGCTTGAGGCACCGCGGCACCTTGCCCTTGGGACAGCAGATGTAGTCGCACTCGGCGATGGCGTCCGGCGGGCCTTCCTTGCCGCGCTGCCGGCCAAAGCACTGCAGCATGATGTTGACCGTGCTCTGGCACGTCACCGTGTCCCAGGGATCAGTCTCCATGATATGCCCCTCGACATCGAGGCAGCGCATGTTCCAGTAGTCCGATTCCTGGAAATCAATCTCGGCGCAGTGCTTGCAGTGGCAGCGTCCGTCGGTACAGCTGAGCGTGCGTCGCTCCCCGCACTCGGCGTAGTCGCAGTCGGTGTGCTTGCTGCACGTATGCCCGAGGCACCGGCAGCCAGGGCCCGCATTCTTCTCGAGGGACGACTTGGTGTCTTTGAACACGCACACGGGTTCCTGCCAGGCGTAGTCACACTTGACGTCCTCGCAGTCGGATTGCTTTTCGCAGTTGTTGACGGCATCCAGGTCGCATTCGCACGATCCCGAGCCCGCGTCAGCGCTTCGACGCGTACATTTGGCGCCGAATTGCTTGCCGCAGCGCGTGCGGGCGCAATCGTCATCTTGGAGGCATCGGTCACCCTCGTCGCTGGGCCGTGCGCCATCGGCAGGTCGGTCGTAGTAGCAGCCGGCGGGTATGTCGCCGTTGTCGTCTCCTGCCTTGTGGCGCTGAGAAATATCTTTGATGCCGGTGCCGCACCAGCCCTGCTCAAAAAGAGAAACGCGTTCGAGGTTGATGCGAAGCCGCTTCTCGTAATGAGCCGTGTCATCTTCACGGACATAGGCGTAGGGCGTGTACTGGAACGAGACAAGGCCGTGCCATGAACGAAGAGAGCCCCCGTACAAGGAGCTCGAGAGCGAAACTTGTTGCTCGTAGAGGTGGACGTGAATGTCCTCTTCCCTCAAGCCGAGCTCATCACGGAGAGTCGTGCGGATGCTGTCGACTTCGGTCGGATACTTGGCAGTCTTGGTGGCGTTGGCTGCTTGCGGGCTGACAATGGCGACGTACACAAACTCCTTGTTGTCCGCGTTGAAGTGGCCGTTCTCCGAAGTAAACTCGGCGAGACCTGGGTTCTGGGTACCGCCCTTGTCATTCCCGTCTTTCAGAAAATCTGTAACCATTTCCTTGAAATATTCATCCTTGGTGCGATCGGGCTGAGCTCCCTTGATGGCATCGCCTTCGGGTCCAATTGGGATCGAAAAGGCCAGAGCCTCCCAAAAGTGTCCGAACCAAACGCCAGCAGGCGAAGCCACCAACACAATGGTACATCCCCAGACCGGAGGTGCGCCGCCGCCCATCGGCAGCACGTTGCCTTGTCCTTCCGAATTGATGGCAAAGTCATAGAATTTGCTTGTCGACCAGAGCTCCAAATTGCTCGAGTTCGTCCTGCCGTACTCGGGACCAGTGGCCTCAATGTGCTCGCGCATGAGCCCCCACCAAAGATCCTCCTGCTGACGCCAACCGGGACGGTACTTGCTGGGGTCATCGAGTTCGAACCCAAACATCGAGTCGTGCGTCCAGGCTCGGAATGGCTGGTCTTCTGACGTGTCTGCCGCTTCGACGCATGCCTCGCAGGTGCCGCCGCATAGCCTCTCAGGCAGAGGACAAGTCGGCCCTGGAATGACCTCTACGCGGGGGCTGTCCTTTCGCTTGATGCCGTCGCCACACCATGAGCGATGAATGAGGACCCGTTCCTCGAAGCGAACGATGAGCTCCCTACCAGTGCCATACGTTCGGACATTGGTCGTTGTATTCTGCTCGCCGGGGGAGAAGTGCCATGAGAGGAGACCTTCCCATCCAACGCGCTCGGTTTTGTTCTTGTCGCTGTACACATCGGTGTGGCGGTCATAAGGGATAATGTTGATCATGTCCTCATTCTGGAAGCCGAGCTTCTCCATCTCCTGTTTAACACCCTCAATGGCATCGCGGATGTAAGGGCGGTATTGAGGGGGCGAATCTTTGTCATTTGACCCGTCTGTATCACGCGGCGCCGCGATGCCCACCCAGACAAACTCTTGCTCGTCGACGTTGAAGGGCATGCCGGGCCCGGTCAGGAGTTCGAGACCCTGGTACCCGCGACCGCCGTCGGAGATGAAATCGACAACACCTTCCTTGTAGTACTCCACTTGGGCTTTGGGAAACAAGCGCTCAATGTCGTCGGCAGAGTCGCTGAAGAGGCCGAGCGTTAAAGTCGGGACCTCCCAGATGTGCGCAGTCCAGACGGCTGAAGGTGAAGCGACGACCAGGGCGAGACAACCGGCGACAGGCACGACGCCGCCCATTCGAGGGACTTCATACTCGAGCAAAGTGTTGTCTTGGTCATAATGGAAGAGAGCCAGGGAGCTGGTCGAGTAGTGTGCCAACGTCGTGTTCTCGGCGTCGCGCTCGATGCCGTGAAGAGCACCCCAAGTCGTGCAAATGATGTACATCTTGCGCCACCAAGCCTTCTCACCGCCCTCGCCGGGCCAAAAGCCTGGCCACCAGACCATGCTCGTAATGATCTCTTGCGCGTTTTCAGGAAGCGTGGCCCCAGGACCCTGACGTTTGCTCAGAGCGAATGTTGCGCCGCCACCTGCGTCAGGCATGGCATCGTCGCTATCACTTTCGGAGGGGTCATCCATGTCGACATCGCTGTCCGAGTCTTGGCCAGGGTTGAAGCGACTCATACACTCGTCGCATCCGCCACATAGGGGAACAGTATGCCGCCTTCGCTGGGTATGGCAACCATCTGCGACATCCGACATTTCCACGTCCTCCGGGGTTTGGCCTTCAGGCACCATGCCATCCCCACACCATGACTGGCGGAAGATGATGGACTCTTCCCAGCGGATGACAAGCTCTTTGGCCTGGCTGGGGATGACAGGAGGTACGCCGCTGCCTGTCGGCTGGGCAGCTGAAGTCGACGTCGTGACGGTGGCGGAGCTGGTTGAGTCGCCTCCACCAGGGCCGTACTGCCAGGACACCATCCCCATCCACGGTTTCCAGTGCGGTGTGCCTTCCGCAGCCCACTTCTGCAGCTTTTGGTCGTCGGACAGATCCCAGAATTGGTTTGCAGGCGCCAGGGCCGACTTCGGGGTACCAGAGTTGCCAACGTCGTAGAAGATCTGCTGGATGATGTCTTCGGGGAACATGCAGTCCTTCTTGAGAATCTCGACAATGGCGGCAACAATCTCCGGATAAGCAGCTGCCGTCTCCGGCTCAACGTCGTCGTCCATGACGGTGATGATGTAGACCCGCATCCATCGGAGGGACTCAAAGTGGAAAGGCTGACCGCGGGCCAAGGCACTGTCACAGAGACCCATTTGTTCGTCACTACCATCGTCACCGCCGTCCCAGCCCTGAAGCAAGACGTCGCGAATGTACTTTTCAAAGTAGAAGCTTTGGGGCATGTCGTATTCGTTTGCGTATTCTTCAAAGGCGAAGCTGGGGATTTGCCACATGTGGCTGGTGAAGATGCCCCTTGGAGACGCCACGACGACGGAGGTGCAGCCGCGAATAGGACCGACGCCGCCGCCCTTGGGTTCATCAACCGGTTCTCCATCCAAATTCGTTTCGCCAAAATGATCAATTGTTGTTGTAGAAAACTCCTTCATTCCAGCCGTGTAGTCAATCTTGGGCCCATTCTCGAACGTGAGCTGGAAGGTCTTCATCCACCACTCCAGCCGGGCCTCGCCATTCTTCCACGTCTCAGGATCGGTCGGCCGGTTGGCCAGGATGACATCTGCTGTACCAGGGCTCTGTCGGCGAGCGAATTTATTCGTGGCGCTGTCTTCTGATGGGTTCTCCGCAGGCTCAGCCTTGACGTCCGAACAGCTGCTGCAGTGACTTGGGCTGCACCTTGACCTAACACACGTGCCATCTTCACGAGGCTCGAATCCGGGGATCGTGACGTCGAAATCTTGCACGCCTTCAGTCTGTCGTGCTGCCAGACTATGTGTCGCCAAACTCTGTGTCGCCAAACTCTGTGTCACCGAACTTTGTGTCACCGAACTTTGTGTCGAACCCGGTTGTCGATTACGACACCACGCCATGGACGCGAGGACCTCGTTGCGGAAGCGAATGACCAACCGTTGCGACTGGTTCTCGCTTCCTGGGCCATATTGCCACACGAGGAGGCCGTCATACCACTCGGTCCGGAAGTTATCGGCATTGGAATCGTCTCGTTCATCGACAAACTCCTCCCAGTCTCGACCGACTTGGGAGTTTGGTCTGTACGGTGTGACGTGGATCATGTCGAACGGCACGCCGCCCTCCGTCTCCATCTGTCGTTGAATCTCTTCGATTTCCCATGGAGAGTAAACGTTGCCCCATGGATCTGCCGAGGTGATGATCCAGGCCCCTATGAAGCCGGCGGCCTCGGGATCTAGAGGCTTGCCGTCTCCCATCAGCCCCCACAGCCCGGGGTACCAGTCGACCTGGGCGTCGTCGCCCGTGGCTCCCCGGGCCAAAAAGTCGGTGACGCGCTCCCTGAAAAGAGCTTCGGGACCCATGGGATACTGTTCGCGGTCCCGCTCATCATTGTAGTGCAGATTGGGGGATTGCCAGATATGGTTCGTGTAGACACCCTTTCGGCTCGCCACTACGATCATGGTGCAGCCCCATACTGGCCCAGAGCCGCCCCCGATACCGGGCATGGGAGTGCCGCCGAACAAGCGAGGCGGTTCATCGAAAGCGACAAACATGCTGGCCGAGGCACCGGGAACGAACCTCCAATCAGGGTCGCTAACGTAAAAGTCGCCGCCATCGCCAGCACCATAGTCGGCGACGATGCGCCATGCCTTCTTCCACCAGTCGGCCGCGCCGTCTGGCCAAGTCTCGGGAGAACTGACGTCTTCGGTGAGAATGGCATCTCCATCTCCAGTACGTCGAGCTTGGATAATGTGCTTCTCGGCTGCCGAATCGGGATCGGTGGTACCGGGCAGACAGGCACCGCCGGGGAAGCCGCAACGGCCTGGTTCGCAGAGGTGTGGCGGTTCCGTGGACGTGGGCGTAGCAGTGGCGTAGGTCGTCGCAGTCTTCGTCGGTGGCTTGGAACAGAGCCTCTTGGTCTCGCAGGCGGCAGTGAAGCAGCTGGTCGTGAGAGCCTCGGTCTGGATGGTGCCCGAGCGCGTAATGGGTTTCACAGTGCAGAACTGCGAGCAGTGAGGGGCGACGGTGTAAGTGACGGTGCAGGTGGCTTCGTCCTCGTCGTCGTCATCATCATCGTCGTCGTCATCATCGCGGTCATGGTCTTTGTCGTTGTCTTGGTCGTTGTTGTTATCGTTGGTAGTACCGCCGTTAGTACCGCCAAGAATACCGTCGATGTCGGGATCGATGCCCCCGATGGTGCCGCCACCTCCGCCATTGCTACCACCGCCTTTGCCGCCCTTGCCTCCCTTGCCTTTACCATCATCATCATCATCGTCGTCGTCGTCGTCGTCGTCGTCTCCTCCATCGTTGTCATCACTGTCATCATTATCTTCTTGGTCATCTTCACCATCCTCTTGCCCCTGGCCATCAGAGCCGTCCGAGCCAGACGGAGAAGGAAGAAGAGTAGAAGTCATGAGAAAAGCACTGGTTCGGGTCCCAGAGTCAATATCAGCAGGCGGCGAGGGCATGATGACAGGAGGGAACCCGGAACGCTCGGGGATTAGCGGCCCGTCAAACTCAGTATAAAGCAGGTCCCATTTCCAGCAGAGGTTGTAGCACCAGTACTTGGGGCTGCAGGTCCATCCTGGACGAGACGTGGGTATGACGATGCCATCGACCGTAGCAGTACGAGTGACGTCGGTCGAGATCCAAGTAATAATCGACGTACGGAAGGAACCGTCGGACTCGGTGGTTGTGGCAGTGATAGGCCAAGTCCATGTCTTCGAGTCGAAGTTCTCGGGCGGGTATGGGAAGAAGAGAGCATCGGGGTCTGTTTCAGGAGGGAAAAAAGGCCAAGGAAACCAAAACGAGCCGTCCTCTTCTCGTGGCCATGGAGGAAAGAAGAAACCGTTGTGTTCGCGAGGCTGGGGAGGGTACGGTCTGCCATCCGAGTCAGTGGGCCAGGGGTAAGGCGTGCCATCTTCGCTGGTGGGCCATGGCACCAGCGAACCATCAGCGTTGGTTGGCCAGGCGGACTGAACAATGCTGGCAGAGTCTGTGTACGTCGGGGTTGGGAATAGTGGCGATCCTGATGAGTCGGTAGGCCATTGCGTGGCAATTGCACCTTGGCTATGTGTGATTGACGGCTTCTCACCATCAGACAGGGGCGGCGGCGTCTGGCTCGGCATCGTGCTGACGGAGGGAACATTCGGGATGGGCATGACATTACTCATGCTTGGGGCTGTTGGAGGCGCTTCGACAACAACGGGAGACGCTTGGCCGAGCGATGCAGTGTCACTCAATGTTGTTCCGATATTGGTGGCAGGGGGAGATACTTTGCCACTGTCACGGACACTCTGACCAGACAAAACAGTGCTGGAGATGTCCTGACCATCCACACTGGCAGTGCTGACAGGATTCTCAGCGCTGGAAGGTCCATCGTGGGTGGATCGAGCAGAGTCGCCATTGCTCGTGGCGTGAGGCAAGGTGTCCGATCTTCTAGTGCGAGAGACTTCACCGTTCGAATCCTTGGATGTAGGTCGGCCACCAGTGACAAAGATGGGAGATTTGGAAGTCTTCTGGGTTGTAGGAACCCCAGTGTTCTCGACAGTATTGATTGTGGGGGTACCGCTCAAGGAGATCCTGATGGTCGTGCCCTCATTGTGATTGGGGGCATCTTCAGAACTAGTTGAGACATGTGTGACCGGAGAGCCCGAGTGGTCGAGCTCAGGGCTGGATCCATCAGGTACAACAGACTCGGGCTGAACAGTGGGCTCGGCTGCAGGGACATTTGAAGCAGTGGTCGAAATGTAAATCTTGATAGTCGTGGCCTGGCGCTCTTGGAGAGTGTGCACGGGAGCATCGTGCCTTGAAAGCACATCCTTGGGCGTGGCCTGATCGTCGAGCTGAAGAGATTCATCATTGGAAATCACGGCGTCGGTGTTGGACGTCGATTCAGGCCCAACAACACCATGAAGTGTAACACAGCCATCGTCGGTATCAGAGTTCGAACAGAGTTTGGGCGAATCATTGATGGTTTCTATAGAGGTTAGCTGTCGTTGGTTTAAAGAATGTGCGTCGCTGAAGCAAAGTATGGGCACAGGGGCTGAGATAGGTGGCGCATTGTGGCGCGCACCATCAAAGCGACAGCGGACCCCGTCATCGATGCTCCTAGGACATACCTCCAGATACAAACATCACAAGCTGAGTCAGAATCAGAAGGAGAAGCAGGGGCAGAGGCCAGTTGGGCCAACTCCCCGGGCGCAACCACGCCATCGAGGTTTCGGCGTGGGAGTATTGTGTGCAGTTGTAACCAATATCGTCAAAGGCCTTCAAGGGGTCTGAGATGCAATCGTGTTGAGCGATCTGAGGCTTGCAATCAGGAAGGTTTGGGTGATGTGGTGGAGTGAGGTAAGAAGAAGATATCAGCTGGATGATCAAGCCCTTCACTCTAGCAAGGCTTTCTGACTTGCGAAGGAGCGATACGTGAATGAAGTGAGCCGATAAGACGCCACAACTCCAACGTGAATGGGCTTGAGGCATTCACCGAGCTTTTCTAAGATTAACCTAGCATATTGCTAACAATGAGCTGCAAGATAGTTAGGTTTAGCAAGGCCCTTAGGCACACTCAACCATGCCACGTGACTGGTTCTTCGCTTGCCATGTCTGAAGAGTCAAAGGTGTCTGGCGGAGGATTTATGAGGTCCTCACGAGATTGGGTCCTTACGAGACTGCTGAACAACGACTCACTGGCACGCTTGACTATAAGCTTCTCCAATGTCTGTAACACTGTCATACAATACAATCTTGGCCCTTGACTCAAGATCTATTGAGATAGAGGCAGATCGCAATCAGAGCAACCGGTGACAGGCAAACGTGACCCGGTTCGAATAACATACATCATTACCTGAACATAGCATGTCTTAGTCGATCGGGATCCTCTACTCATAGATCTCTGAAGGGGTTGAAACACTATGGACACGGGACCAGTCAGGCTGTTCCCAATGGAGTCACTCTTGTAATGGACGAGGGACTTCTTGGGACTTTGCTAACCCGGTGAATGGATATGGTGATATCAATTCAATACGGCAGCCTTGGTCACGTGCCTCAAGATATTCAGAGGTGAAAAGCTCTGGGCAACCCAAGCTTAATGGCCACGTGATACAAGACGCGTATGTGAAGCTTTTGGGAGGCACGCCAAAATCCTGAACTGACTTCTGCACCTGCATGAACACATCCCAGGTCTTTGCCATCAAGGTCTCCGACACTCCGACATAAAGCCACCCGCGAACCAGTTCTTCGTCTTCAAGCTGGCCATCCGCGTCTTTCTTCATTTTCTGCTCCCCTTTATCATACTTGTCTTCATCCTTTCCTTTGCCTTGAGACATCGCGCGCAAGCCTAGCCCATCACCATGCCCGCGTTGACGCACGCTGTACCGTGCGTTCCAAGCCGTTTGGAAAGCCTTCCAAACGAGATCTTACACCTCATTATCGACTTTCTTCCCTCGCACTGCTATTGGCGGTTTGCTTTGGCCAATTCGAAACTCAAAAGCCGCCTTGTTCCACTCCTTTTTGGGAGCTCGAAGCTCGGCCGCAGAGATGAGCTGGTTCAGATGGCCGCTCAGTTCAGTTTCAATTACATGCTGACCACGGCCCTTTCCTTCGGACCGGTGAAGACCACTCTCACGACAAGCACGGTTATTCGCTGCTACTATTACTATGCCCGTGGCCGCCGCCGTCCTGTTGGGTTCGCCTCTTTGGCCGAAGACACTCTTCCAGCCAGCACACTCAACATGGCCCTGACAAACGGTTTGGGCGCGCAGTCAATCCCCGTCATCCGCACCCTTCTTGCTGCTGGTGCCGATGACTGCACATCGCGTTTCTGGCTGAACAAGTATTGCATGGAGTACCATATCGCTCTTGCCGAGCGTACACCCTTGCACGTCGTGGATAACACTCGCGCTCTTGCCGTCTTACTCGAACCGGGCTCGAACTGTCTGCGCTATCTGAACACAGTCAGCTTCACACGCTGGCCCACCCCCCTTGCAACAGCTATTGCTTCCCACCGCTCCTTTGAGTTTGTCAAGATGCTCATCGACGCCGGTGCTGATGCCAGTGGTCCCCATCCCAACTACGCCACCGACCAAGAGCTCATCGATGTCTATGACGAAGAAGGAGTCGAGTACGACACTCGCTTCAAAGGCACCCTCGAAAGGGCGTTTGGTGGCCACTGGCTCAGCGGCGTGCCGGGGGATGAATACTGGCTGACGCACTTCGAGATTGCCTGTCTCTTCGGCCGTTTTCAGACAGCCGAGCTCCTTCTCCGCTCCGGCGCCTCCATTTTCGAATGCACCCGATACAACGGTCCTCTGCGTGCCCTCGAAACGGGCATCCGCGCCACAAACGACTCCGGCGACGACCGCCGCGGCATCGCCTTTGTCGATATGTTCATGCGTAACGGCCTGGAGACTTTCTTCAACTCACCCCTCATCATGGGCACGCAATGGTTTGTCAGTGAGGCTGTCTTCATGCGCTTCCTCACCTGGGGCGTGAATCCCATGGTATCCTATCTTGACCAGCATGGAATCACGTCCCTGGCACGCTACCTCGTCACCGTCCAGACCATCTTCGGCCCAGACTATATCACGATCGCCGAGCGAACCCGTCTCCGCTGCATCAAGGCCAACGCTCTCCTCGCCTGCGCTATGACCGCTGGCGACGCCGAAGGCTTCTGTCGTCAGTGGGCCATCGGCGAGGGCCTCCTTATCTTGCGGTGGGGCTTCGAGGCCGGCTTCCACTCATCGCAACGCCGCTCGGGCGCCATCCTTGCCGTCAACGGCATGGTGGAGCTGTTCGAACAGGACCTCGACCACATTCCGATCTGGCGCAAGCTCTTCTTCGAGAACCGCGAGGACTGCCCCTACATCGGCACGCTGCACATTGTCGTCGAGTCGGTGGAGCTTCTCCTCAAGAGCGGTATGACGATCAAGAAGGACCGGTACGGCCGCACCCCGCTTCACTATGCTCTGCGCATCAATAGGGTTCCCGTCTGTCCCATTCTGTGGTCCATCGTCATTCCCGATGTCGATGCCGAAGACATGCGGGCCATTTTGAATTGGAGAACGGTGGCGCTCATGACGCCTTTTACCTATGATAACTTTTCGGGACGGGGCTACAGACACATGGAAGTCAAGCGCGACGACAACATGGTCCGCATTATCAGGGCTCTTCTCCGGGCTGGTGTGCCCGTTGACGCTGTGGACAACAGGGGTCAGACGTTGAGGGACTATGCGCTTCGCACAGGCTGGGGTGAGGTTTGGCAGCGGGCCCTGGAATGTGAGGGTTTGCATGAGGATGCACAGGACGATGGCATGCAAGACATTGGCATGCAAAGCGATGACATGCAAAACGATGACATGCAAAACGATGACATGCAAAACGACAGCATGGGCACTGATAGCACATGAAGCAGCGACATGCATGACGATTGCATGTAGAACTATGACATGCATTCAACGACATACATACAACGACAAGCACAATGACGATGTGCATAACGACGACATGCATAACGACGACATGCATAACGACGACATGCAGAGCAATAGCACACATAACAAAGACGGAGGGGCCTATGGAATGGTAAAGCAGAGTGCTTTAAAGGATACAGGCCACAAGGAGCTGATAGCAGCTCAGATTGCTTTCACACGATGATTGTTATGATTTGTAGGAACAACACACGATACTCAGCAGTATACAAACAAAACTGCATTTGCACCCTTCAGGTGCTATGTAAAATAGTCAAGGCCGCAGCCAGCAGACAGTAGTGGGTTATACATCAGGCATGCACTTCTCAGGCCGAGTGAAGATCCAGGTGACCACGCTATCTGATGACCCTATCATTCGTGATGTAGACCAGTATTGCTGCTTTGCTTCACTCTGGGGATCAAGACCCAAGAGATCGTCATGCAGGCAAAGAGAGCAACTAGCATGGGTTGCAGGACACCAACGCTATACCGCAAAGCCAATGCACCGGTGATGATCGGAAAGAATGCACCGCCCATCTGCGCAAAGAGGAAGATAAAGGAGAGGGCCGTTGACTGGATTTCGTGGGGGAAGAGCTTCGACCCGATGGAAATGCCCTGCATCGTTTGTCAGTGGGCAGACATTGACGTGGAAAACAAAAGGATTGAACGCACGGTCGCAAACAATGGTCCCGTAAAGAAACCAACAAAGCTGACAGCTACCGAAGCCGCAACAATGTGCGGTACCCTAACAACATCAGCATCACGAAGTTTCTGAAGACAGCGTTGACAAAGCACTTACAGCCAAAACACCAGCTGGAACGCAAGAGCCAGAACACAGTAGATGAATATCATCCTGCGCTCCCCGAGCCTGAATGTTGGCTCTGCGAGCAGGATACGGCCGAGCAGACCGCCGCCGCTAAAGCCAGCGGGGACGTAACCCATGTGAGCCAGGTTGCCATCGCGGACCTCCACCAGGAACTCGACGATCCAGCCAACAGCAGTCAAAACGCCACCAATGTAGAAGAAGAAGAAAGCACTAATGACCCAGACGGACTTGTTGGAGAGGGTCTCCTTGACCAGCTGAGCTGCTCCCTTTGTAGGCTCGCTTGTGCTTCCAGACAGCTGCTGGGTCTCGGTGTTTGACGTGTTGTTCGCACCCGAGCGAGGTCTGCCTCGGAAGTGAATCGTATCCCGGAAGGCATAGCATGTGAGTGCCAGGTTTCCTACGCCAAGAGCCAGTGGAAATGTATAGTAGAGGTACCAGTAAGACGTCGTGCCGGCAGAGGCAACTGCGGTGGCTATAAATGGGGCAACAAAGCAGCCGGCCATGTACATGGCGTGGATGAAGGCAAGCCATCGATGGGCACCCTTCGCGCCGGCCACGTAGGTGTTGCAGCCGGTATCCTGATAGGCCTGCCCGAGGCAGACGACGGCGAACGTGATGCAGAAGAAGGGGAACGGAGGTTTCCAGGAACGCAGGGCATGGGCCACGACCTGAAGAGCTGCGCCAAAAACGAGCAGACCCCCAAGGCCGAACCGTTGGGTCAAGTACGTGTTTGTGAAGGCCGCGAAGAGCCATCCGAGGAAGTTGGCGCCGTAACTGAAGTCCAATGAGTGCATGTTTCCTTACACACCAGGGTCAAATGCGAACGTACACGACAGAGGCCACGGCTGTGCTGAGCTCGTAGTCGCGGATGAAGTATGGGACTAGAGCACCAATGCTTCCATCGTTGGTGCCTGAGACGAAGAAAGAAACGCCGGCCGCCAGCAACTTGAGTTTCGTCGCACGACTGAGGCCTTGAGGTTCGTCATCGCCCATTGCCTGGGTTCGATGTTCGGCTGGGGCAAGCCGGGGTGAAGATGGCTTTGATGGGTTGGCAGAGAGTTCGCGCGAGCCATGGGCCTGCACTGGCTCGAGCTCAATCGTCGTCGTCGCCATGGCAGAAGAGTGTTCGATGATTATGGATCATTTGTGATGTCGAAGGAGTCTGGGACCGAGATATATCAACTGTCAGATGGCACGGGATCGAGATGCTGGGGTGAGCCGAGCGGAGTCTGGGGGAGGAGCGGGCCTGCCTGGTTGGGCTGCCCCGTCGCTTGATCCCCTGGCACTAGCGGAGATTCCCCGGACTCCGGCTACTCTTCGGCTGTGAAGGCATGCATCTGATGAATCGGGAAACGGTGTGGGAGAAACGGGCATCGAATCGACGGGCCGATGGGCCGTGGGTGCTGGATCAAGAAGAAGAAGAATCAATCTTGTCGTCGGTCCCAAAATGGAGATGTCAACAGATACGGAGATGTCACGAGCCATCCAGTCATGTTCAAGTGGATTGGTGGCGTCTGATTTTGAAATGACCCTCCGCGATGGCCAACCCACACGTCGTGGGACAGACCACGTGACCATGACCTGCTTACTAAGGCCACTTATCTCGCTTGGCAATGGATGAAGGAGCCTCGTGCCATTGAGGAAGACAAACTCAACGCCTGCGCCTGAGCGTAACCACCAATCCTGGCAAGACAATGCTACGGCAATGCAGATGAAGAGACGACATCATCATCATCATCAGCAATTGGTATCTTGAGCGAGGATTCCCGGCAATTGACTGAGAAAGAGGCAGCAAAAATCGCTCAATTACCGAAACAAAAGATCGATCGCGAGAAGACCAATCCGGCGGTCATTGCCACAACCTTTCGAGGTGCTTCTGATGTATCGAGTAATGGACCAGCGTTTTCCAGGCTGCAGCGCTCGACACTGGAAGACGAAAAGGTTAAATCGTTCTCTTTCAGCCTTCAGGGTATTTTGAGCATATCGTTCGAGTCAGGACACCCGTTGTAGAATGCAGCGGGGCCCGCTCTTTCAGCGCTTCGACAAAACCATGGACAGGTTTGGCCCCCTTTTCCCAGGCAGCCGCATTAAGTCTTTGACGATCCACAAGCGCATACCGGCATGCCCCGTCGGCTAGCCTCAGAACACCCACTCAGCCGCCGTACAATTCGGCTGCCTGCTACACCCATCGTCTCCCTTGCCCATACGAGACCACTAGTTGCCAGGACGAAAGCTTCCGCACGTTCACTGCAACTTGCAATGGCGCCCGCCGTGCCGAGCCCCTTTGAACGGTTCAGTCTGGGCCATCTTTGTCCTGACTGGCTTGCTATCGAGTTGTGGTATGTATAAGTCATAGCGCGCCGAGGCCGAAAATGTGTTTAGAAGCGACTCCTCCCTTGAGTTGACCGTCTGTTCTTCAACATCATCTTCCTCGTTTGTTTTGTTCAGTACAACTTGACAGTCACTCCTCATGTGCGCCTGAAGTCCTGCCCGCATCGATTATCGCTTTCTGCAGCTGTCGTTATGGCTTCAGGCATGCGGCTCTGGGTCCGACAGACCCAGGCCTTGACCAACAAGATTTTCCTCATTACACTAAAGCGACATCTGCTTTCGACTTTGATACGGGCCCTCGTCATTCCCATTCTAGTTGTCTCTCTGACGTTGGGAATCCAAAATTCCACATCTTCAGGCAACAGGTTCGGCGTTGGCAGCCCATCACCCGCCGTGACACTATCCGACGTGATCCCTAACAACGCGAAACTCTTCTTCATCCAATCCGCCGACGCAGGTAGCGATGTCTCGGCAGCTATCAAGACCATCACCAATTCCCTCAAGACGAAGCCTATCGTTCAGGTCCTACAGAGCGACGACGAGTTGGAGCAAAAGTGTCCGACAGACATCAACGGCCGCACAGATTGCTACGCCGCCGTCACCTTCAACGATTCCCCCCTCAGCAGCAACGGCGCCAGTCAGTGGAACTATACCCTCCGCGTCAGTTCCTCCAAAGTATCATCCGGCTTTAATGTCTTCAACTCGAACAAGGCGGCAAAGAATCCCTATGCTCCGCTGCAGCTTGCCGTAGACCAGGCCATCACCAACTCGACGACCGTTCCCGATATGTACATGTATACGCGGACGACACCGGAAGATGATGCCACCCAAAGACGCAAAGACCTCCTCAGCGGCATTTTCTCTGGGCTCAGTGTTGTGTGTTTCCTGAGCATGCTCTCTCTCGTCTATCACATGGTCGGCATGATAGCCGATGAACGCGAGTCGGGCATGGCACAGCTCATAGATGTCATGGGAGGTGGGGCTGCTGCTGCTCGCGTCTTGAGCTACCTCATTGCTTTCAACATCATCTATCTCCCTTCGTTTATCATTATGGGCGGAGGTTAGTTTCAGCTGTGACTCAAGTCCCCCAGTATCCTTCCCAGCTAACGAGCTCGATCAGTCTTCTCTAGTCTCCTCTTTCCATCCTCGAGCGCAGGAATCCCCATCCTCTGGCAGGTCCTCACTGGCTGGGCCCTTACCAGTTCATGTGTTTTCGGTGCTACATTTACCGTTCGATATTCCGCTATCTGCGCTGTCGCCGCCATCGTTGGCATGGCTGTCTTTGCCATGTCGATGGATACTTTGAAGTACCCTATCGACTCATCAACCGCCATCGGTTTCTCCATCGTCTTTCCCAGCTGTAGCTACATCATTGTTCTCAACCTGATGGCTCGCTTTGAAAGAACCGGAAGGCCGATCGATATCTTCGCATCAGCTCCTATGAACGGAGTTGACATGGAGGTTGAAATGGCCACCATTGGGACACTCCTTGGATACCTCGTGTTCACCATTGTCGCCTTTCCTTTGGCAACCATACTCATCGAGAGGTGGACCCAGGGAATTAGTAACAAGGGGCGCAAATTCAGTGGAGGAATCCAGGCAGATGATGGGACAGCCCTACAGGTCAAAAGTCTGACGAAAAAGTACAGTGCCCCGCTTTGGAAGCGTATCTGCTGCTGTTTCTGCTGCGGCCGGAACCGTCCTTTTGTTGCTGTGGACAGCCTGGACTTTACAAGTCAGAAGCAACAAATTCTCTGCCTGCTGGGTATCAATGGCTCAGGAAAAACAACAACCATGGACCTCATCACTGGAAGGCAGAAACCCACAAGCGGGGTGATCGAGATCAACGCCGCATCGTCACAGATTGGTAAGACCTTTCGCTCCTCGTCCTAGATCCTTAGCACCGCTGACTTTGACACCAGGTTTCTGCCCGCAACGAAACATACACTGGGGGGAATTGACTGTTTTCGAACATGCCTACATTTGGAACATGATCAAGGGCGGGTCGGCAACAACGGCAGAGCTGGAACAGCTCGTCGATTCATGTGATCTGAGGCCCAAGATGAACAGCCAGGTTGCCACCCTGAGTGGAGGGCAAAAGCGCAAGGTGCAACTTGCATGCATGCTTGCTGGAGGAAGCACCATTTGCCTCATGGACGAGGTGACTACTGGCATGGTAAGATCGCTGTCTTGGCACTCAGGAATCCGAACTAATCATAGACAGGACCCTGTCTCTCGACGAGCCATCTGGAATATCGTCCTTGCCGAGCGATCGAGGCGATCCATGATTCTGACGACACACTTCCTCGACGAGTGTGAAGTCCTCGCCGACCAGGTTGTGGTCATCTCGCGCGGCCACCTCAAATGCCATGGGTCGCCAGCCGAGCTGAAGAACATGCACGGAGGAGGATACCGCGTTCGCGTCCCCCAGGTCAACAATGTCCCGCAGACCAGCTACCCGATGGCTGTCTATCAGGGGGAGACGATCTATACCGTTCCGGACTCGACATCTGCCACCAGACTTCTTTCTTCACTCGAGGCTGCTGGGTTGTCTGACGTTTTCGTTACCGGTCCAACCATCGAAGAAGTTTTCCTTCGCGTCGCCAACGAGCCCGAAGCGCTCGAAAAAAGGGGCACAGGCCTGTCTGATCTCGCACCCTTGACCATAAGTGGCGAGGCATCCAATGGCCAACTATCCTCCGGCACAAGCACCACGTTCCTGCAGCAGCTTATGGCACTTACGATCAAGCGTCTGACCATATTGCGAGGCAATTACTGGTGGTATATCCTGGCCTTAATCATTGCCTTGCCGTTTTCGCCAACGTTCACATCGATGCTGAAATCGACAGACATGGACTTCAACACCGTCCCGTATGAGCTGCCTTCCTGCAGCGACTTCGAGCCATCCTTTTTCGATGAGCCGTCCGCCGTCACTCTATCGTACTACGGAGACAAGAAACCAGGAGATGTCTCGATGATTGTTGGCCCACAGTCGGCACGAGACAGTGTTTTCCGTGCCGTCGACAAGTTTCCCATCGGTCGAACGATAAATACGACGGACTTTGACTCCAAATACATTTTCCAGAATGACTACGACAGTTTCCTAAAGCGTGTCCACGACAATGCTTCAAGTATTCTCCTCGGTGCGATTTACATGGGCGACGGATCTGCGAAACCAACAATCGCTTACAACACCGAGCTCGGCTACGACTCACCCGTGACGATGCAGAGCCTCTGGAACCAGGCACGAAGCGGAGTACCCATGGAAATACAGCTCGCATTTTTCACAACCTCGCTTCCTGTTCGTCGTCATCCAAACATGATCAATCTTTTCTTCGTAATTACGTACTGATACTACTCCTAGGTCGATGCTGATGCAGGCCAGCTTCCTGCAACTGTAGGTGCTCCGTCTCTCATCTGTCGTGATTTGTGCTGACAATACCAGCTCCTTGCTCTCATGCATTCGGTCTACCCTGCTTTCTTCGCCCTCTATCCCGCGTTTGAACGACTTCAAAAGATCCGAGCTCTCCAGTACTCCAACAACGTTCGCCCCCGCCCACTCTGGGTCTCTTACATCATGATCGACATCGTCATAGTCACCATCGTCGCCGCGCTCGGCACCCTTGCCTTGGCCCTGGATGTCAAGAACTGGTACCATCCGGCCTTCATATTCCCGATCATGTGGCTCTATGGCATCGCAAGCATGCTGTGGTGCTACATCATCTCTTTGTACACGAGGTCGGAGCTGGCCGCCTTTGCTTTTTCCGCTTGCATCATGGTTATTGCGTTTATTCTGACCATCGTCGGCTTTTCGGTACGTTGGCACGTTCTCCCGTGGGTGTTCTCTCGCTGACCATGTAGCTTGCCATCAACAACCCCAGCTCCGACCACCCGAAGCTCGTCATCGACGCCGTCTCCTATTCTTTAGGCCTGCTTTTCCCCATCATGAACCTCTACCGAGCCTTTGTCGTCGGCCTGAACGTCTGGCTTGTCACTTGCCGCGGCTTTAAGCTCATCGCCAACCCAGGGTCGTTCAGCGCATACGGCGGTCCCCTCGCTCTCCTTATCATCCAGGTGCTCTACTTATTCCCCCTCCTCCTATGGCTCGACGGAAAGAACACCTTCTCCATGCCATGGGGCAAGAAGAAGCTCGTCGACAACGAGGAGTCCGTCTCCGGCGCACCGCAGGATATCGAAATGAAGAGCATGCGAGTAGCCAGTTCGGAAAAGAACCTGCTTTCGGTGGAGCACGTCACAAAGTCGTTCAAAGGCAAGCGCGCCGTTGACGACGTGTCGCTGGCCATGACCGAGAGCTCGGTGATCGCACTGCTTGGCCCCAACGGTGCCGGGAAGACGACCCTGACAAACATGATGCGCGGCGAGATGGTGCCTGACTCTGGCCGTATTTTCGTACAGGGCCTCGATGTGCAACAGGACACGCAGGCTGCGAGGCGGCATATTGGCGGTACGTCTGGCGTTTCTAGCAAGGATTATGGAGCGTTCGCTAACGAATCAAAGTCTGCCCACAGTTTGATGCGCTGGACAAAATCACGGCCAGGCAGCAATTGGAGTTCTACGCCCGCATTAAGGGCATCAAGGACATGAAGCGCGATGTCGATTTTGTCATGGCTAGGGTGGGGCTGACGCCGCATGCCTCTCGTCTCACACATAAACTGTCTGGCGGCAACAAGAGGAAACTGAGTCTCGCGATTGCGCTACTAGGTATGCCGACTCCTCGTTGTTGACGCGACGTATCCAAATGCTAACAAGTCGCGCAGGTAACCCTGAAGTTCTCATTCTGGACGAGCCGAGCTCTGCAATGGACGCCATCGCGAAGCGTGAGATGTGGAAGATGCTGTCATCCATTACGCCAGGACGTTCTGTTCTCTTGACGGTATACCTAACCACAAGTCTTTTGAGCCAAAGATTGGATGCTAACGTTGATAACAGACGCACTCCATGGAAGAAGCAGACGAGCTTGCGACTTGTGTAGCCATCATGTCGAAACGCGTCCTCGCCATCGGCACGAGCCAAGAGCTCCGCCAGCGCTACAGCAACGTCTATGATGTCCACCTCGTCCTGGCCACAGCGCCAGGCTCCACACGCAGCGAGATGCACAACATTGAGTCGTGGGTGCAACAGGTCTTCCCGGAAGCATCCTTCGACGCGGCCAGCCTTGGTGGACAGGTGCGGTTTGTCATGCCCGTCGGGGCCGGGCCTTCGCCTGATGGGAGGAGCACGGTGAGAAGGTTGATGGAGACGCTGGAGGAGCAGAAGGCGAATCTTGGGCTTGCCCATTATACGGTTGGAATGGGCACTCTGGAGATGGTGTTCTTGAACATCATGAGGAATAGCGGTGCGGCAGAAGAGGAAGAGCAGAACGGGCCCAACACAAGAAGAAAGGGCTTGAGGCGACTGGTACCAACATTCAGGTCGGGTGGACTATCCTCATAAGCTAGATACACATACCCATGACGTTTTTCTTTTTTTAAATTCCATTAGATCATACCTGCTTATCCTTAAACAAGAAATTCTATGGTGCTGACTGCTAGCAGCCACAGCGTCATGCCTGTTGCCACCCGTTGAAAGTGGTGGTCTGTCCCAATTGCTCGGGACGGTGTCTCTGACGGGGCTTCTTGGCACATGGCTTCAATACCGTCCTTCAATTTGCATACACATTCCTACTCATTCTCGTTTGCCCGATCCTTCCCATCATCCGGCTTTGAGAACATATCCAAGGGACCAACCCTCAACGGCCGTGAACAAGCCGACACATCAGAGTTGGTAGCTTGGGCGGCGGCCGCCCACATGCGGGACGTCATGGGCATAAATTTGTTATCCTCGACAGAGTCGTAGCCAAGACTGGCTGCGGTCGTCTCGAAGCTATGCGCTTCTTTCGCCGTGACCATCATCGTCTAAGGCGAGACCAAGTGGACGGCGCCGGCGTTGGGTGAGCTGTTGCCCAGAGTGCATTGCCATTGGCGGCTTCCTCAGAAGACAATGTAAGTGATGATCATGAAGAGGAATTGGAGCGCAGCGTGCACCATCGGTGAAAATCAATGAGAACCCAAGATTCAAAAGTTGATCAACTCCCCGTGGCCGTAGGTAGCCTTCGTCATGGCCCTGGAAAGTTATGGTGCTGCATCCAGAGTTCTTGGCGTAGTGGCGTAGTGGGGACTACTTTCAAAAGGCCCCTTGTATCGTATACATGTAGACCAAGTTGGGACGTCAAGGAACCCTTTGGCAGCCAGCCAATATCATGCGGCTGGGCTTTCGTGGCAGCTCGGCAACGGCATGTGGGTTTGAATGCACATGCCTGGGGATCGAGCAACCACCATCTCATGTGCCACGAGAGCCAGTAGGTCCAAGAATTGCCGTTTGAGCCAGAACTCATAATTTCCCCCAATTCTGAATCTTCTTGGCGTGCGCGGCGCGTGGTACTCGGCTTGTATGCAACACGTGCGCAGGAACTCTGCATCAGAAGTACAGGTTCTCACTCGACTTGGCCAACGTCTCTGCTTTGCTCATGCCCATTTCCGAGTATGTACTGCCATCGTACTCGGAAAGCATGTCGATGGCAGCCCCTGCATCAGCCTCGGCGGCTGTGAACTGCGAAACGTCCATCAAGGTCTCGTCCGGCAAAGGCGATGCGATGGTTGATGGCTGCGGCGATCCACTTTGGCGGATGGCTGGATCGACTGGGATTCCATCTGCTCTCACTGCGCTTCCTGGCGCTGACGTCTTTGACTGATACCAGGAGAGGAGATTGTCGCTTGTCCGAAGGGGTGTGTTGTCCCACTCGCTGACGCGGTCGACTTTGTTCTGCCTTGGCGTCCAGGAACTTGACGAGGGAGCAGGCCCCGCCATGGCTGATTCGAGAGACCGGCTGTCTACGATGCTGGCGAGGGTTCGAAAGAGAGCTGTTTCGGTTTCTGCGAGCCTGGCTTCGAGCTTTGTTAGGTAGCCAAACGGGATTCCTCTGACAGGCGTCAATTTTGGTTCACTCGTGTCTAGAACCCGAGGAAGGCCTTACCGTTTGCTTTTCTCAGGGTAGTGACATTTTGATGGGTATGCATGGCACTGGGAGCAGTGTGGTCTGCGGGAGGAAGAGTGTCATGTTAGTTGTTGCCTTTGAGCCTCACATGAGGATGTCGTGGTCAAAGGAAGATTGAACTGACAGCTTTCGATCACACTGATAAGCTCAATATTGTTAGCCGCTATTCAAGTCAGGGGCAATATTGGGGGAAGCGACCAGACCAGGGGTAGGACGGGTCGACGGTAGATCGGGGGACTGTATGAGGAGAACGACAAGGGGGGGTTGACATACCCCGCGCTTCCGTTGGCGGCAGGATTCACACGCTATGGGGCTCAAGCTGATGCCTTCTTGGCTGGATCTAGGGTCCGCCATGTTTGGAGGATTTGGCGGGAACCAAGCAGTCCAGTCCGCTTGTATTTGAGGCAGGAGAAAGTCAGGTCCGGACGGAAGATAGTGCGGATGTGGGAGGATTCCAAGGGAATCGGGGAGGTCGCCGGGGTTTCCTTTGTCCGCACCACGTAGGAAGTCTGTGCTAACAATTGGCTGGGCGGTCTGAGTCCCACTTGTCTCTGCCACATCAGGATAGGATGTCTGCCTATCACGTGCTGCCAGCTGGATGCGTCTGGGTGCTGCACCACCGGCCCCCGTCTCTCGGACGACTTCATGATTCCTTCCCAGCCTTACCTTGTATGATCTTCCTTTGGCCACCTGCCCGTTACACATCAATGACAAACCCTGTTCGACATCCACTCAGCCGCCAGGATCTTGTCAATCGTCTGGCCCGATATACTACAGAGGGAATGAAGGCCTGATAGCTGCGCTTGTCGCGTGTACAACAGCGACAAGGGCTCCGGATCTGCCAACCTGGCATCGCCTCCACCAAAGACTGCAGCACGGAGGCTGTGGTCCTTAGCCTGGGCCCTCTGACTACCGTCGGAAGAGTCCAAATCCGCTTGGCTTTCTGGAATCGCTCAACATCAGCGTCGTAGTCGACATGGAAGGCCTTGAGTCTCCCGTCGCCTCCTCTGAGTCGGGTACTTTCGGACTTAGTCCTGCCCATTCACACCTCAACCAGTCACGCAAGCGCAAGTTCTCCCAAGCCGTCGATCCGCCTGCTCGAGAATACGGCCTTATGCGAGACACGGGCCGGCATGACACCTCAAGGTTCGTCGGCAGTGCCAGTGGCATCCACTTCATCCGGGGCGTTTACCTCCGCCTCTCACGCAAATCCGCCTCCAGAGCCGGTAGCGCTGCAGCCATCAACCATCTTGTACCAGGAGAGGACGATCAGCTCCAACCAGGCCGGACATCTCGTGATGGAGGCCAGCAACGTCTTTGGAAAGACCATGAAGTCGCTGTCGAAACGGAATCTACAGAGTCATGGCCGAGCTTCGAGCTCCTCGTCACCTGGTCCAGAAGCTACTTCCAAGCATGGCATCCCACCCTGCCGTTCCTTAGTGCGCCTGAAGTCCTGGCCCTTTTCGAGAGAGTGAGCAACAGCGGCATATCGTCCGTCAGTCATCTCGAGCAATCTATACTTCGTTCCGTCTTCTCTATATCACTGGCAGACAGCAGACAGTCGACTCGCTTCAGTGAGCCACTTCCGCCGTCGCTTGTCTTCAACACAATTGAGGAAGCCATGTCAGCGTCCCAGTTTGCCCTCTACCAGCCAGCCTCACTGCACGCGACACAAGCAGCACTCAGCATCCAATTGTTCCTCATGTCCATGCTCCGACTCAATGCGGCTTCCCGCCTCGGCGGCTTGATTGTACGCATGGCCTTTCACCTTGGCCTCCACCGTTGCCCGTCCCGTTACCCATTCTTCACAAAGAAGGAAGCGCACATTCGACGCCGTGTTTTCTGGTCGATATACTGCAACGAACGCTTTCTCTCCCAGTCTCTGGGTCTCCCACTCGATATCAAGGATGATGACGTCGATGTTTGCTATCCGGGGGAGGAAATACACTCGACATACGTAGAGGCCGAAGACAACCGGCTGCAGCTCCTGACATACTTGGCAAAGCATGCACGAATACGAGGTCTCATTCTTGAGTTGCGAAATAAGTCAGTTTCCAGCCGCGACGACACTCCAACGCATGAAAGCTATGTCCAAGCAGAAATGGCCCGCTGGTCAAACGAGATTCACGACGCACTTGAAGATGAAGACAGCGACGGCGAGCAGCCTGGCGAGGACAACAAGGAGCCACCACTTTCTCCTGGCCATCGCATTTACCTTTCGTTACTGAAGTTTGAGTCCAAGATCTCTCTCAACCGACCGATGATGGCATCCGATCCCTCCAGCGGCTCCTACTGCGCAGGCCTCCAAAACTGCATCTTCGCAGCCAGATCAATCTTGATCGCTCTCAAGAAACATCAGTCTCGCCACAAAACCAAGGGCAAAGACGATAACGCCTTGTCTGACCCAATACTTTGGCCTACGATCACAGGCGCCATATGGATTAGTTCTTTCATCCTGATCTACGCGGCATCTGAGCGGCAACTGCCATTATCAAGCGCATTGCGGTTCGTAGTTCCTATTGATTGTATGTAGGTGCCTGACTGACGGATTTCCATCCAGACATGTCGAGGCAGGAAAAGATATGCTCCGCCATATCGCTGCTCGAGAAACAGCTTGGCCGGAATACTGTTTGTCTGCAATTGACGAGTTGACTGCGGCTGTGCGGGAAGTGACCATTCCTCACTTCATGCCGGGCAATGTCCCGCCAGGTGCACGCCACTCAACCTCGCAACAACAGTCTCGAGGGCAGGGCAACTCCACAGATCGAAGCCGCCGTTCTGATTCCACATCTGTCACTCGTCCGGCTCCTGCCCATCCTCGTCGGAATACGGGCTTCTCGCCCACACTGGCTACTTCTTCCGGCATGCCTGATGATCCATCCACTGGTGCAACAGACACGCGAGAGAACGGAGGTGACAATCTGTTCTTTGGAGAGAGGAATCGCGACAGCAGGCCACTGAGGAATGATCAAAACGAGCCAGTTCAGTGGCAGCAGCCAGCCGGCTCGACCACGTCTCCCCTGAACCCAGACGCGTGGCAGATGCGAGCTCCTCAGCAAGAGCCCGGCGGGCCAGGTCGCGCAACGATGCCCGGTCTTGGTGGGCAGCAAATGTCCGCAACCGTAGCAGGTGGACCTTTTGCACTCTCACAGCAGGAATTGCTGCCCGGGGAAGGGCAAGAGTCGATGGTCTGGTATGATCAGCTGTTCGCGAACTCGCTCGGCGCTATTGACTATCCATACATGGCGGCGGCGCAGTTTGACTCCTCTATTGACCCAACCTGGTCATACTTACGATAGTTGTGATTTCAAGCGATACTTTCAGCGGCAAAGGCAATTTACAGTTGACTTGTCTCGACCAAGATGCCTATTCTTATCGCATCAAATCATGTGCAAAGTCACACCCAAATTTTTCTCTCGATAACAGCGGAGCGATACAAAATCGAGTGGTTAAGCTTGGAGGCGCAAGTTCAAGTGTCAAGTCAAGCGAAAGGTCTTCCTACTAATCGCGAGAGACAAAGTGGACAATCAGGGCAAGTGTCATGGCGTTACTCGACCAGCATTCATGGGATCAAGCCACTTGAAAAACGCCTTTCATTCTAATCCACTCTAGATACTTCTCACAGTACTTCTATCCAAGCATGACATACGCAAGGTGAAGCATAGGCGGCCGGACCAATCGTCCACATCCCCACCAACGCCGTATTCCAAACCATGACACGCGCATGCAGAGCCGTGCTAATAAGCAAAGCGCATGCCCGACGTGTTTCCCGCGCGATCCATCTTCTTGTTCTCGTGAATAAGCCAGAACCGCAGCGCCCAGGTGCCGGCGATGCAAGCAAACGCGAACGCGGCGTTGCTCGCCATGGCGGTGAGGTAGCGCGGGCCGTCGCTCTTGGGGTAGAGGTAGGCCGTGTAGATGTACGAGGCGTTGGCGACGACGTTGACGATGGACAGGCTGACGGCCTTCTTCTCCTGGGTTTGGCCCAGCGTCGCCGAGACCCAGCCGAGGACCATCGAGTTGATCGAGTAGGCGCCGGCGGCGAAGAGGAAGCACGAGACGTAGCGCGCGGCAACGTTCATGGTGGCGCACGAGATGACAAAACCGACAATGGCGATGCTCATGCCGATGGTGATGTGCCAGGTGCGCTCGTTGAAGCGGCCCGACGACATGCCCCAGAGGTAGCCGAAAATGCCGGACACGAGGTAGGGCGGGCACGTGAGGACGAGGGTCATGGTGCGGTCGAAACCGAGCGAGCCGACGACGGTCGGGAAGAAGTTGTTAAAGGAGCAGGCGCTGAGGTGCATGTTCTGGATGAAGCAGAGGGCCCAGAGGCGCGGGTCGCGCACGGCCTGCATGAAGCCGGCCTTGGCGCCCTTGCTCTCCTCGAGACCGACCGTGTCGCGCAGCATGCGGTCGTGGGCGAGCTGGCGCTGCTCGGGCGTGAGCCAGCGCGTCGTCAGCGGGCTGTCGGCGAGGGTGAACATGCCGATGATGGCGACGCCAAAGGTGACGCAGCCCTCGATGATGAAGAGCCACTTCCAGCCGGCGAGACCGTGGTTGCCGCTGACCGTGTTGTAGACGGCGGCCGCGATGAGGCCCGAGAAGGACGTGGCGAAGATGTTGCCCGAGTAGAGAATGGCGAGGCGCGTGGCGATCTCCTTGCGCGTGTAGAAGATGGACAGCATGTACAGGGCGCCGGGGTAGAAGGGGGCTTCGGTGATGCCGAGGAAGAAGCGGACGGCCACGAGGCCGGCGTAGTTGTGGACGAGGGCAGTGCAGGCGGAGACGACGGCCCAGGTCATCATGCAGATGCCCATGTAGATGGACGGCCGGACGTACTTGGACGACATGAGCATGTTGGAGGGGATCTGCATGAGGAGGTAGCTATTGGGAAGGTTAGCGATGCCGGTTCTTGCAAGTGTCTCTGACTGTGCTTTGAGACTGACCCGACGAAAAGGATGGAAATGCACGTGTTGTACTGCGATCCAACAAGACCGAGATCATCTTCGAGTCCGTCAAGTCTAGCCTGGGCAATGGCATTTCGGTCGAGCTGAGACACAGTGTTAGGTCGTACATCAGGTCAAAAGACTGCGGACGCAACTGACGTAGTTGAGAAAGTACATGGACCACAGTGTGGGCATGATGTGCCAGTCGAGCTTGCGCACAAGGGCAATCTCCTCGGGGCTCGTCTTCTTGACGGCGCCGGAGTAATCAGCGCCCTCGCGGGCCAGGCCATCCTCGGGATCGCCCTTCATGATAGAGGCCTCGACAAAGTTGTCCATGGGCTTGTCGGAGTCGCGAAGCGCAGCCTGGTGCTTCTCAGAAGACATGTTGAAAAGGCGACGGAGGGAAAGGTGGATGTATTGGAGAATGACGGGGACAAGAGATGGTATGAGACCTGGAAGCGATAGACTGGAAGCCGAGTTGTCCTGCGTCCTGACTGGGCAGCAAGAACCCCAGATGCCAGGAGGATGAGCAATGTCTTATACCTGGCGCGCCGACATCAGAGCTTCCCCGGAGTTTCTTTGACATGATTCTGGGGTGCGCGGGAGATGAGTTGCGTAGCAGGCAGACTACCCCGGACTTCGAATCTGGGAGGTTTCAATCAGCGCTCCGCGTGGCTGTCACTGCGGAGGTTGACACGTCCGTGTGCCGCTCCTCACTGGCGTGTTCCCCGGCCTTCGGAGACCATGAATCGTGCTATGGATGCGGGGAGCTGGAGGGGCCGCTCGTGGGGTAGCTCATGCCCCTGTCGGACGAGCCGTCCAGCTACCGCGTGGAAAACAAGCATGTGTCATAGTGCAAAGTCTTTCCGAATTCGAGACCGCGTGTGCGGGGAATGTTTGGGGCTGGAAGATCTTTCCTCGACTGGGGCCTCGATGGGCGACCGTCGACTTTGTCGCAGCTTGATTTGCCCGGGACGAGGCCTGTTGAGGCGGAGAATTCTCCCTCTGCTGTTGGGATAGAGCATTGTGTGTTGACATATCAGACCCTTGTGCTGTGCGAATAGTCTCATGTCATGATTTTGAGGTTACGCGGGTTTGTGCCTATCAGGGACATAGTTGTCTTCCCGTCCTGGATAGAATGTTTTGGGTGTTATGTTATTGGGGTCCGAATCATCATGCACAGCGACGGTGGACTTGTTCACTGCAGATTGACTATGTTGAATCTATTCCGTTTTCAATAGGCGGAAGTCATACACAGTGCCGTGAGGGTGTTTGAGGAATCGTAGCGCTTCTTAAGCAACACACAAGTCAAGATTCACCTCAGCATCTTCCCGATCCGCTCTGTGGCCCGTCCCTGTAGGCGGCAACGACACATCTGATCCTATCAAAGCCAGACCAATCTTCGACGCCTTGTCTGAGCTGTTGATCTGAATGTTTTCATGTACTATCCGCCTCCTCTTCAGCATCAGCTCGGAGTGATGAATGGTGATACGTCATTAGACGTGGTGAGGTGAAAATTCCACGGGGTCGTCGGTCCTAGGGGCCAAGTTGAGCTTGTGTTGGATGTCATGCTGCGAGTACTGCCCACCGAGCCTTGTGACTGTGTCGATTGACTCGTCTCTGCCTTGACGGCCAAAACAGCAAAACCACCTGGAACATCAATTGGACAGAAATTTCGGCATAAATAGCGAGAACCATGCTCTGGTGGGGGAGCTTGGGAAGCGAAAACTGCACCGCAGCGCCTTGGCCATCAGCTAAGAATGTGGACCTACCGAAGCCAAAGCGACAATCATGTCCGACGGCCGGGCAAATGCATCTGCGGTGGAATAACGCTCAAACAAAGTGCGTCTCGCGGTCACCTGCGGTCAGGGAGGGTGAGGAGCCTGACACGGCACACCGGCCGGCAACTCACTAGCAGACAGTCCTTGCAAGCTGACCTGACCTCTCACAATGTCCGCAAGGGCGGAAGATGAATATGCCACGATGTATTCTTTGTCCGCGGGCTTCTCTTCCTGCGCCGCCCCTCATCCCCACACCTCCAACGTGCTCCGCACGCAGTCCGGCTCCCCCGCAAATGCGGTCCGGAACTTCATGTTGGTGCCGGCCGTTGTCGGGAGGACGATTGACGATCAACGATTACAAAAGAAATCGTGTTCAGTACGTTCCCCGATTTAAACCACCCCCTCACAAACCATTCAACTATCGAACCATACTCAGGGGTACCTTTAAAACACACTGTGTCCTCCGTCACCCAAGGAAGTAACTCAGTCTCCTTCAACGCCAACATGTCGCCCAGCGCTGTCCCCGCACGCAAGTCGTACAGCATCGCCTCCATGGGCGCCGATGGCATCGGCCCGGAGGTCGTGGATGCTGGTGTTGAGGTGCTCAAGGTCCTCGCCGAAACGCTCGACTCGTTTGACCTTGACTTTACCGAGTACGACTGGAGCTCCGAGACGTACAAGAAGACCGGCAAGTACATTCCCGACGGCGGCCTCGAGCAGCTGAGGAAGCACGATGCCATTCTCTTCGGCGCCGTTGGCGCTCCTGACGTTCCCGATCACATCTCCCTCTGGGGCCTCCGTCTCGCCATCTGCCAGCCCTTCCAGCAGTACGCCAACGTCCGCCCCACCCGTGTCCTGCCCGGCACGCAGTCTCCCCTGCGCAACTGCAAGACGGGCGACCTCGACTGGGTCATCATCCGCGAGAACAGCGAGGGAGAGTACGCCGGCCAGGGCGGCCGCTCCCACCGCGGCGAGCTCTGGGAGACCGCCACCGAGGTGTCCATCTTCACGCGCCATGGTGTCGAGCGTCTCATGCGCTTCGCCTTCGAGACAGCCCAGAACCGGCCGCGCAAGCTCCTCACAGTCGTCACCAAGAGCAACGCCCAGAGGAACGGCATGGTCCTGTGGGACGAGGTCGCCGCCATCGTGGCCAAGGACTTCCCCGACGTCACGGTCGACAAGATGCTCGTCGACGCCATGACCACGAGGATGGTCCTGAAGCCCGAGACCCTCGACACCATTGTCGCCACCAACCTCGTAAGCTTTCCAAAAATCCCCTTGTCGCACTGGTAAGATCATTCTTTGTTGACAGTCACAGCACGCCGACATTCTCTCCGATCTCGCGGCCGCCCTCGCCGGCTCCATCGGCATCGCGCCGACCAGCAACCTCGACCCCTCGCGCCAGAACCCTTCCATGTTCGAGCCAATTCACGGCTCCGCATTCGACATTACGGGCAAGGGCGTCGCCAATCCCGTCGCCACGTTCTGGACCGCCGCCGAGATGCTGACGTGGGTCGGAGAGAAGCAGGCCGCCGACCAGCTGATGGAGTGCGTCGAGGCCGTGTGCCA